AAATCAATATATGATTTTTTTTTTTTAATATATAAACATTTAAGTATTAAACGTGTACCCACTAATGATTATCGAAATTTTATCAAAAAGTTTTATCGAATTTTAATTATTTTTCATCATTAACACTTATATTATAAGAATGTTTGGTACATGAAACTGAAAATGATAATATAAAATTAGAAAAACATATTTTATATAAAATTAATTATTATTTGTCACTTCAATCGTGTTAGGTCTAATATATCAAAGGCATTACAAAAATTATCAATAATCCAATATATTTGGCATTGACAGCCTAGTTAACATGCCATCTTTTATTTAGTCAAAAGCGTTATTTTTAATTTAAAGGGTTGTTTCATTAAAAAAAAAATGATAAAATATACCGTTAAAAAGTTGAAAAAATTTATAAATTTCATAAAATATGTTATTAAATTAATTGTTAACTTTAGCCCCTGTTTGACCCCCATTATTTTGCATTTTTTATGGTTGAAAATTTTTGGAATAGTGATTGATGGGAGAATGTGCGGTAGAAAAGTAATGAAAAGTTTTAGATTTGTCTGTAATATTATTTTATTTGATGAATGTGTGGTTGTAATGAAGAGAGAGAAAAATTTAATATAATATAATTTAATGGGGACCAAACAGGGGCTTAACCTTAACTTCTTTAGCAATTTTTAAAGTTATCCAAGCTAGCACTAAATTTCAAACAAAAGTATATGTCAATTTTTTGAAGTGGCGCCTCAATGGTACATTCAACTTCAAGGGGTCACCCACCAACCATAGAATATAATCATGTAAAGGAAATGGAAATATAACAAAAGTGATAGACACGTTGGAATTATCACTTAAAAACTTTCCATGTTTCTTATTTCGTGGAAAATTATAGTGTGCGTTCGTTCAAGCATGTGTGTGTATGTGTGTGTCTATATATATATATATATGTATGTATTCGTTATTGGACCAATTGCAACGAAGGAAGGTGCATCAAAGAAAAGGATAAGATGAAGTGATAGAGAAATGGAAGAATGCCTCTAATAGTGCTCCCATAATAGTGTGCAAGGGTCTGCCCATGGATTGCTATCATTTTTATGTTCAACTTACCTACCATTTACATGCCCATTTTGTGAAACTTGATGTTCAATCCCAATTGACAATACAATTCGATTATTTGTTTTTTAAGTCCCTAATATTCAATTTTATCGAAGTTAAACTTCTCGATTTTATATATTTTTCGATTGGAGAAAAATTCTATAAATTTTATTGAGATTTTATTAGCTATATGAAATTTGGAGTGACTAAATGCCTAGTCAATAACACCTACTTATAATAATCATGATTTGGGAAATCAATTTCGTATTTCTAACATATATTGACAACGCGTTCTCATTCGTTTGATATGATTTAATAGATCATGTATCAGATATATAACACAGACATGTGTATGTATCACATATGTGTGCATCTCAAATACTTTTGGGAGATGCTTACGCCACGTGAAAAATGATATCTTTTTTATAAATGTGACGTTGAAAATGAATTTGGGAAAAATATTTTTTTAAAAAAATAAATCTCTCCCATACAAATTCATGAAATCATCAAGAAAAGGGGTAAAGACATCTTCTTATTCACTTGTGTAAAAACCTAACCCTTAAATTAAAATGTGTTAGGTCAAGTGTCCGAGTTGACATGCATAGTTTTTGACTGAAGATTGATATCGATTGCGTTCACCTCATTTTTGTAGATGGGTAGATTTGAATTTCAAAGAATACGGACGTTATAAATCCACATGCGATCAACACCATGCACTCAACAAAGATCGAATTCGACATACTTTACGTGTATATCTACAAGTTAACTATGTGGATACTTGTCAAATCAAAAATCAAAGACGACATGTTATACATGTAGATCGCAAAATTGATCAATGATTTGTCACCAATATTGCATTGGATCGTTGTATTCTTCATATCCAATATGCCACAATAAAAGAATGCTCATAATAATCACATATGATACAAGTTTTAGCTTAAATGCCCAACTAAGTTAGTATCGATTCGATATCGATTCGTCAACCTCATTTTCTTATTGATTGGAGCATTCAAATACTGATATCGTGACAAATCCACAAGAAGCTTACGCAAATGTTTAAACTCAATCGAATCCGACCCACCTTACTTGTATATCTACAAGTTAACCATGAGGCTACTTATTCAGTTAAAAATCAACTACGCATTCCGAGCACAAAATGTTTGATTGATCAATGATCTGTCACCCCCACTATTCTGGACCGTTGGATTTCCCGGACCCGATGCGCCGCACAGGCGGGCGTCGGTGTTTCCCAAAATACGTGGGCCAGACGACTTCCAGGCATCCCTTAATCGGAGTCTTCATGCGCCACCTCCACGTGTGAACACTTCTGAAAAATCAACCTAATTGACAATTGGTTTCTACGCGATCTACAGTTGTTTGAAGTGTACGCGCTTGGATTTATTTATTTTTACTATTTTAAGAAAAAACTTGGAAATAGTAAAAACTGTAGTTCACTGAATTATGAGTTGTAAAGGCTGTCGCTTTGCACGTGTTGGTCACGAGGATCCATGGGTGGTTTATTATGAGGTTGAATAAGTATTCTAATAATTAAATAAACGTGTGTACGTATAAAAAGAATCGATCAGATCGAGTAATAATGTTCACAGTTGCGATATGGGGTGTGTTTGAGTCACATTTTTTTGAAAGAATGTATTCTGCAATAGTAGATTGACGGAGAATTTGTGGTTGAAAAAGAAGAAAAAATTATTGATGTGATGAAAATATTATTTTCTTGAAAAATGTGTGATTGAAAATGAGTAGAAAAATGAGAATGAAAATTTTAGTCCCTGTTTGGCATCCATTCTCTTTTTCATTTTTTTTCTCTTTTTTCATTTCAACCACACATTCTATCAATAAAATAATATTATACATAAACCAAAAAACTCTTCTTACTTTTTAACCACACATTCTTCCCATCAATCATCATTTCAGAATTTATTCTTATCCAAAATGGGTGTCAAACACACCCTAATGTGTACCAAACAGGGGCATGGTCATATTATTTAACAATGCAAATCCATTTGTCTAAAAAACTAGTTGTACATGTTCATCTAAAATTCATTCAATTTAATATATCAAACAAATTTATACAACACTTTTGGGTTTTGGCTAGTTGCTTTTGAGAGCGAAAGATTACTTTTAAGACTACAAAATTAATTTTGAACATATTTAAATAATTTTATGAAAATAATTTACTCATATTTGACTCTCATTAAAATTATGATTATTTTTTTTATTTTTTTATCAACCACATATTCTCCAATAAAATAATATTACACTTAAATCTAAAAATAAATTCTTCTTTTTCAATCATATATTTTTCAGAAAAATACTATTTTAAAAATTATAATATCAAATAATGAGGGTTAAACAAGGGCTTTATTTGATTAAAATACTTTTTAAATGAGTTAACATAAGTTAACTTCATCACGAAACTCATGTAGATTGAGAGGACGTTTAGTGGGGATTAAAATTAGATTTTTAGTGGATTGTGATGAAAGATATGGTTAATATTAATTGTTTGACTTAAATTAAAATTAGATTTTAATCCGTCTTAAACAGGCCCTAAACGTCTACAATTCATTCAATTTAATATTCGAATTTAGAGTGTGTTTGGAACATTCTTTTGAAAAAATGTATTANTTGAAAGAATGAATTATTGAATAGTAGATTGATGGAGAATGTGTGGTTAAAAATGAAAGAAAAGTTATTGGTGTGATGGAAAATATTATTTTATGGAATAATGTGTGGTTAAAAATGAGTAGAAGAATAAGAATGAAAAAAATAATGTGTACCAAACATGACCTTAATTTACAAAATATGGTGGGAACCCACGCGCAGGAGATAGGGTGCGTACTCGGTCCAAGGACCCTTTTTTTTTTTCTTTTCGTCGGCGGTAACCTCACAAACCAAAACCGCGTGGACTTTTTCTTGCTCTCCCAAACACGCCTTTGACATTTCTCTATGTCAACCCACAGACCACTGAATTAAAGCAATTTTGTCAATAGAGAGATAAAAGCCATTTTGATAATTCCAACCAACCATCACTTTATCTCTCTTTACAAATTCTCTCTCTAGACAACCACCCTTTTGTAATTGAGTTAATTTCTTTAGTGGTCACCGAATCCTTTGAGAAATTTCAGATTGATCATTAAAGTATTTTTCTAACATTATTGGTCACTAAATTATGAATCCATTTTACAAATGTCCACTCGATTATTAAAATTTAACATATTCTCTGATCTAAAGAGATCGTCAATTTAAAGCAATGTGAAATTAGTTCGTTTCTCTCTTTTTATTTAACATAGAACGACTTTATTTTATCTCAATGAACTTATATGTAATTGACGATGCACTTCAAGTTTCAACTCCATTAGAATACTTTAAAATGGGTGTGTAGAATGTTATGGCAACCGTTAAGTGCCAGCTCATCTCAACGTTGTCAATACCTTCATTAATTACAATTCATTGTAAAACTCCTGATTGATTGGATAAAATTCAAAAAACCATCTGTCATTTAATATAACCTCAAGTCGTTGGAAAAAATAGCCGCTTAGGTGAAATTTTAAACTTTTGAAAGGATTTCGTACATATCTTGGAGGACTTGACGGATGCCACATCAAATGACATATATAAGAAATTCTAGCTTCAGTGGTACTAGACACGGGTCTATGTGACCAATTTGGAAATTTACACAAAGTTCAGTGATGATTAGTGAAAATAACTCCACGCCAACCATTCTCTCTCTCTCTAGAAAAACACCCCTAGTCTCTCTCTCTCTCTCTCTTTTATAAATGAGATTTGTTTTTCTTTCATTTACACCCCTCAAATCTCTCTCCCCATTCTCTATCAACAAAAGTCAGCGTCTTGTTTTGTCTCTTCTCTTCTCCCAATACCACCCCATTCTACCAATGGATGATGATTGGGATCTTCAGGCGGTGGTGAGAAGCTGTTGCACCACCACCTCTTCCGCCACCTCCTCCACTGTCACAACTACCTCCGGCGGCTCCCAGCTCTTCAGCAGCTTCAACACACAGCAAGATGTGAACTTTACTTCATTTCAAGATCTGTTTGAGCCAAGAAGACATAGCTTCTTTGAAGATTTGCAGGATCTGTATAAACCCTTTTTTCCACAAAGCACAACAATTTCACCACTCTCTGTTCTTGGCGGATTACAAGATCTATCACAGCAAACACAAATTCAGCCTAAACAATCTCTTGTTGCAGTAAAAAGTAGTACTTCAAATACTCCTAGCTCAAGATCCAAAAGAAGGTATATTTGAAAAATAATTACTTTTTCCTTCAACTTATAAGTAATTCTGTTCTGTTTATTGAGTTTCTTAAGAATTTTTTTGCAGGAAGAACCATTTGAAGAGGGTTTGTCATGTGCCAGCAGATAGCTTATCTAATGACATGTGGTCATGGAGAAAATATGGCCAGAAACCCATTAAAGGATCTCCCTATCCTAGGTTAGTTTTCATTTATTAGAATTTTTGGCTTGAAAAAAGGTGATTTCAAGAAAAATAATTACTGCCCAACTGCAATTTCATTTAAGGGTTGTTAATATTTTTTGCTCAAAGGGCTGTTTAGAGGAATTTTATGGTACTGATTATGTTACCCTTTTTTGTATCAAACAGAGGATATTATAAATGCAGCACTTCAAAGGGTTGTATGGCCCGGAAACAAGTGGAGCGGAATAGATCCGACCCGGGAATGTTCATTGTAACTTACACGGCGGAGCACAACCACCCTATGCCTACTCACCGGAATTCTCTAGCCGGAAGTACCCGGCAGAAGCCGGCGACCACCCCAAGTGCCGAAGCCGACGATGCAGACAAAACCACTTGCTCAACACCGGTGTCGCAAGCGGAGAGCCCCTCGACGGCGCCGGAGAAGGTGGAGAGCAGCAGGGAGGACAGAGAGAACCAAGTTGAAGCTGATGGTGAAGATGATGAATTTAGTGTCTCAAACATGGATTTGGATGATGATTTCTTTGTGGGTCTTGAGGAATTCACCAGTCCGGATCACGGAGATTTGTTTTCGGATCAATTTCCGGCGAGTATGCAGTTTCCTTGGCTTGCCAGTAATCCAACATCCACCGCTGCCGGCAGTAGTTGACATGCCTCAAACTGACCCACCTATGGAAGTCCACCGAATGATGCTTTTCTTGTCACTCACTTTTCTTTTATTTTATAGTGGTCAAAAACATTTGAGGTCATTAGGCTTTTAGCAAAAATTTACACTCCACATAATTTCATTTGCTTCAAATTGATCATCAACACATAAAGATTTCGTTCTGAGTTGACTTGTCACAATCTATTACATTACTACGACCAACTCGAAATAAATCCGTGATCAACTCGAAACAGACTATTCGTAACGAAATAATTTTTTGCAAAAAATTTAGCGATTACACTATGTTTAATCTTTTTGTAGTAGTTAACATTTGGATCTTTGAGAGTAGTAGGGAATCTTAGAATCGCAATGTTTGTGTACCTAGAAGGGCATAAATCTTGATCATAGGGAACCTTGTAAAGGGAAAAAGAGTTGATTCCATGTTGGTTATCACTATTGTAAGATAAGGGCACATAGGTGGTTTTTTTGAATCAATGAATCATGAACATTTTCATTGCAATCAATTGCTTAATACCTTTTCACATTCCTTTATATGGGGTATGATTATTTGTTGGTTATGTGAGTGATTGTGTAACTAATTATGTAATACTTGTTGATTCTTGAGCAAGTCAGTATCATATTTGCTCTCTTATTGATGTAGTAATTAATAAGTTAAAAGTAAAAGATTGTAGTTATAGAGATTTTAAAGGAAAAATAAACTCTTGTGATATCATAAGACAATTTCAAATCAAATTAGGAAATTTATTATTAAGCCCTCGTTTGGTGCGCATTTTAAATGTAAAAATGCATTTTTACTGTTGATGTGATGGAGAATATGTGGTTGAAAAAGAAGGAAAAGTTATAAATGTGATGGAAAATATTATTTTATTGAAAAATGTGTGGTTGAAAATGAGTAGAAAAATGAGAATGAAAAAAAAGAATATGACCCAAACGGGAGCTTAATGTACATGTAGCAAGATTGCATTTTTTTTTACGCTTGGTCCCAATAATATGATTATCTAGTAATCAATGGACAAGAGAACCCCCTATTTTTATAATGGTTTCAAATTTGAGCCCCTGTTTGAGTTACATTAAAATTTTCATTATCATTTTCAATCACACGTTCTTCAATAAAATAATATTTTTCATCACATCAATAATTTTTTCTTCTTTTTCAACCACACATTCTCCATTAATCTATTATTTCAAAATACATTCTTCCAAAATAATGTGGCTCAAACACACCCTAAATAATAACCGTTTGTCCATAGAGTACTTTGAATGCGAGATGGATATTTTTTCGAACTAGAGCATTTGTTTATTTTTTACAGTAAAATAAATGGGCAAGCAATACTTTAACTTTGAGGCTAAGAGAATCGTTAAACTTTTGAATTTTCGTGACAATTAAAGCCTCCAGACTCTATTTCTCACAACCCTCTTCGAAATAAAAAAGATTACACTAAGTAACCAGATGTTACTATTCACCAACAACAGTAAAAAAAAATCATCAATCTCTCTATTTATATCAAAACTTACCAGTAAAGAAGAAATTAGAGAGAAACTGTAGAGTACACAAGGAGAGAGAAAACGACAGTCCTAGTGTCTCTCTCTCTATTGAGAGAGAGAAGAGTATTTAAAGAAATAATCAAAGTATGTATTGAAATTTTGTTGGTTAATCACATAATGAAATAAAGTTGAAAATTTTCCATTCATTAATCGAGTTCTATTAAATCTTGGTCGAAGTAAGTCTTTGGCGAAAATGTTATTTCAAACTCCGACGAAATATCGATAATTAGTGATCATGCACATGAAATTTAATGCAAGATCATGATTGAAAACGGAGTGGTTCGATGGATTGAGCTTGGGATGGATTCTTTGAATTGATTATGCGTGATACTGAGTAGATTACATTATTATCATGAACTATAATTTTTGAACGAAGTGTGACAATACATTATATCAAAATATTATTTGAGTATAGTAAATAAATTATACGGTTTGAATTAAGGAAACAAATGAACTCTCAATCTTTTTTGGAAACATAATTAAGAGAAGGGGTAGATGTTGTTTTTTTCTCTATTGCAAAAGTAAACAAATTAAAATTACTGTTGTAGTTACAATTAGATTTACAGAGAGATAATGAAGTGACACATATATGTTGGTATGTTAATGACAAAATAGAAACTACACATAATGTGTGTGATATATATATATATATGACACAATATGAAACAGTAATCAAAATACATGAAGAACAAATAAGTGAAAATTACCCAATTCCCTACTTTTGGAGATTCAAATTCCAAAATCAGATTTTAAGGTTTAAGTTTCAAAAATCAGATATTTTATATATAGATCCAGATTTTTTTATATTTAATTAAATACTAATAATAATATTATGAAACTTAAAATATATACACCTAAATTAATATTCAACCCTAATTGGCTAGCTAATTCACGTCTCTCACTCATCTCTCTCCAGTCTCTCTCTCTCACTTTAACGGCGGCGTGGAAAGGGGCTTCTCTCTGCGCTACCACCATACCCACCGAAAGTACAGCCACCATACCCACAGAACGCTTTTCGCCCATTGGCCCACCGGCACCATACCCACCAACTTCACGTACCATCGCCCATCGGCGTCGATGGGTGACTCGGAGGAGCAGCCACAAATCGCACAGATGCAACTGGTAAGATATGGTTTCCGGCTTC